GTCCAGTGAGATCCCCTCCTCTATCTGGTGGTGTCAAGGTTCAGATGGATCACTTAACCTTCTGACAGAGTTGGAATTCAAACCCAGAGGCACAATGCTACATGATGCCCCAATCTGAATGGGGAAAGTGGAAACAACTAAACCAGCTTAAAGTTTCTGGTTCCAGGGCACCATCCTGGGAACTTCCAGCAATGCAGCCTCCCTTACATGCCAGTCAGCATCTCTGGGGCCCAGCCTTGACAGTGGCACTGTCTCAGAGTCCTCAGAGAGTTCCAGGAATTAACAGGACTCAAAGCCCTGTCCTAGCTTCAGCTTTCCTGGATTTCTATTTTGGCTTTGTTGTTTGTTTTGTTTTGCAGTACCGGGGACTGAACCCAGGGTGTAGAACTCGCCAGGCAAATGCTCAACCACTGAGCCACACTCCCAGACCCCATGTGTTTTAGAAGCTCTTTACCCCCATTGTCGTGTTTTCTATTCTTTTCCTTTATTAAGCAGTTTTCAAAAGCAGCAAGCATCCTCCAAATGTGACCAAAGTTGGATTTTTAATTTTTTTAATATTTTGCTTATTTATTTTTATTTTATGTGTATGGGTGTTTTGCCTGCTTGTATGTAAGTGTATTGCCCTGCAGAGGCCAGAAGGAGGTGTCAGATCCTCTGGAACTGGAGTTACCGATGGTTGAAGGTACCAGGAATTGAATCCAGGTCCTCTGAAAGAACAGCAAGTATTCTTAACTGATCAGCCATCCCTTCAGCCCCCAAAGTTGGTTTTTTAAAAGCATGGACTTCAGCTTAGCTGATCCCAGTGCTTGAAGTTCTTATGCCCACTTGAAACTTCAAGAGTCCCATGTTTGGCTAGCAGGAGACTGCTGAGTCCTCTTGGTCTGAGCTCAAAAGCCTGAGGAAGTGTTCTTACTATCTAGTGATACCATGTCCAGGCTCCACCTCCACACCCCAGAACCAGCTCCCATCTTGGGGTGGGTATTCCAATTCTTACATTTCTGCTTTTTGTATGCTTACTTGGCTTTGTTTGTTTTAGGATAAGGTGTCTGGCTGTGTAGCCCAGGGTAGCTATCTTTGACTTCCAAGTGTTAGGATTCATTCTAACTTTAAAAAAAAAAATTTACTTCTATTTAATGTGGCTGGGTGTATTGCTTGCATGTAGGTAGGTGCACCTGTGTCATGTGATGCCCATGGAGGTCAGAAGAGGGCGTCAGATCCCCTGGAACTGGAGTTAGAGACAGTTGCTAGCTCCATGTGGGTCCTGGGAATTGAACCTGGGTCCTCTGCAAGAACAGTCAATGCTCTTACCTGCTAAGCCATCTCTCCAGCCCAGGATTCAGTCTAACTTTTTAACCTAATTTCTAAACACTCTAAAGTTCAGCCCCATCCTACTGTAAAAGGTTCTTTCAAATTTTAGTTTAGTCTTTGGGGACTGAAGCCAGGAGGAATATATATTTTTGTTCATAAGGAAAGTCTCTGCAGAGGCTGTACCAAAGCTCACGTTCTTCAAATGTCTAACCGCAATAAAATATCCTTCTGCTTCAGCAGCCAGCCCAAATCAACTAAAAATATCTCCTGCTCCTGAAAAATGTAAAATGAGTGTTCAAATGGGAGAGCAGCGTAGACTGCCAGGCGAATCTGTAAAGTTAAATGTGAGCGTTTTAAAGAAGTTGAAACAAAGTTCCCAGCCTAGACTATTTGAGATAGCAATGAAACTCCAAACGCCACTGAGTTTTGATTCACTGGAGTTGGTCCTTGGTCCTGGTCCCTTCTCCTGTTTAGAAAGCAGAGGACTGTGGAAGCAGAAAGTAAACAAAATTCCTCTGCAGAACACCAGTTATGAAACCGTAGGACTGTCGAAAAGATCTCCATGTAATTTGAGTGGATTCCCCCAATGCTCGGAGGCCTTGGGCTGATGTAAGAGTGAATTATGGGAACAGGGATCCCCAAACTTTAGCTGGAATTCAGAAGGCAAAGGTCCAAAGGCCCTCTAGTACTGTGGTCATGAGAGTCCCACTGAGTGTTTTAATTCTCCCAGCAGAGCTTGTCTGAGGCTATAGCAGACTAACCTCAGGCACTTGCAGGAGCATCTATCTGCCCCTACCCTCAGTACGAAATCTGCCTCTGAAGACAGTTTCACACATGTCTTCACTGCCTGTTGACCCCAGACCTCAGTCCTCTCAGCACAGATAGTAGTGATGATTAAATTCACAGATACAAATAACATGCACGTGGCAGTGGATGACCATGGCAGCCCCTGATGGCAGAAGGGGTACAGGAATGCCTTTTCAGCTCTGACAAGAGCAGAGGGACAGAGGTACCCTGGTTGACTCCAGAGCCTGACACAGGTGAGCTAGATGTAGCATTGGGTAGAGTTGATGGCTCTCTGGTCTTCCTAAGGGAATTAGAATTGTACAACAGATAAAATGAGGTTGTTTATATGAATAGACTTAATAATTGTGAAGTTCCTGGTGAATGTTGAGGTGGTGGTGATGTTATTACAGCTTCATTCAAATAATGTACACTACCCCCCTCAACCTCTACACTGGATAGCTTCAGTTGTCAACTTAATACACCTGGGTGGAGAGAGCCTCAATTGGGGAATTTCCTCCATTGGACTGGCCTGTGGTCATGTCTATGGGGCATTTTATTGATTCTTGAGTGATATAGGAGGGCCCACCACTGTGGGTGGTGCTATCCCTAGGTGTATGGTCCTGGGTTGTATAAGAAAGCAGGCATGCGCCAGGTAAGTCAGTAAGCAGCTATCCTCCATGGTCTGGGCTCCAGGTTCCTTTCCTGAGATTAATAAGTTTAGCAAATTTTATCATACAATGCCAACATATTAAAAATCAATGATATCACTACCTTCTCTCAATAAACAATTGGGATATGAAATTTGTAAAAATCAATACTATTTACAATAGCCCTTTCTAAATGAAATACTTAGGCACAGATACAACACATTGTGTATAGCCATCATAGGTTAAACCAAACAAAAATTGATTTTAAAAAAAAGAAGTCAAACAAGATCTTAATAAGTAAAGAGGTATACTATGTTCATGAACTGGAATACTCATCATAATGAAGATATCATTTCTCTCTACAATAGCCTATAGACTTAACACAGTAAAAATACAAGCCAGATAGATATTTTAGACATTGACAATGTGATTCCAAAATGTATATGGAAAGACAACAAAACCAGACAAGATTACAAGCTGTCAAGGAGATGAACTGCCCCCTTCAGAAATAAGTCACCTGCACTTTAGTTCTTTTGATTACTGAAGCTTTACAGAAACCTTTGAAACCTGTAATATGATTCCTCCAAACCACAAATTCAGGTGTCATTTTTGGGTCCCACCCAACTCCCTAGCATCACCTTTTCGGCCATCTTGCAAGCCTCTTCCTTTTCATTGTTCAATATTGTTTTATTGCTTCATAAGACATTTCCCTGTGTGCCAACAGGGCACTGTGTGGGTGTAAGAAGCAGAGTGTTTTCATTATCTTCAAGCCTCTGGATCCCCCCACACAACCTCATAACTCTCCCCCAGATGAGTCATAAACAGGGGTGGAGGAGGGTGGGTTCTGAAGGAATGTGGGTGTGGCAAAGGAGTTCAGATTTTTGTACCTGTTGAATTTTAGGAGGTTGAAGAGGCAGGTCCAGGCCTGGGATGAGGCAAGGGAAGTGCATAGTGTGCTATACTTAATAAGATAGTCTCAGGGCTCTGCAAATGCTGAGTCAGTCCCTTACAAGGTGATTTCCAAGAAGAGACATTCAGTAGGCAGTACATGTGTGGGCTGAAGGCCACAGAGAGAAAGGGAAAGGGATGAGTCCTTGAAATCACTGGTCAATGCATGGGTCTAACAAAATTGAGGAGATAGAGAAATAGGGATGCTTCAGGGCATCCCAAGGAAGCATTGGGAGGGAGATCTGCTTAGAAAACTGAAGACAAACCAGCAACAAAATCACACACTGTTTGTGTGGACCTTCTTCCTCTAAGTGCCCAAGTGAGCATTCTACCTGCTGGACATTTCATTCCTCCCCTGGGCTCACCAATCGTGGCCAAGTCCAGCCTCAAAACAAACAAGAGGAGAGCGCAGAGAGAGCAGGGAAAGGGTTAGTTTCCCCATCAAGGGAATAACAAATCCCTGGATAGAGTTAAGAGGCAATTAAACTGGAACCACATCATCCACTGGTAACTGATTCCAGAACATCATCCACTACAATTTGAAGGCTCTAAGCTAAGTGCCTACAAGGCCAGACAGTCTTGCAGTGAGTGACAGGAGCCAGAGAAACGTGACTACTCCAGGAGAAGTCAACAACGGGAGCATGCATAGGACAGCGTGGGGTTGATGGAAAGGAGGAGGTTTGCTAAGAACTCTAGGTCCTTCTGAAAGAAACAATTATAACTCATTCTGGCCTACTCTGAGTCATAGATTTCTCACAAAATATCCCTAAATCTGGAACTTTTCGTATGAAAAATCTTTCTTTAAATAGTGACAACTTATTCAGATAGTTTTTAAAGCTCTATATATCAACACTGCTTTGGCTAAAAGATGTGGACAAATTTGGCTGAAAGTGTCTCTTTTTATAAGGTTGGTCAACCTTGAGTTTTCTAACAGGATTGGACTTGACCATGACTCAGAGGGGCCAGCCTTCTTGTCCCAGTCCCTCCTCATTCCGCATGTCTCCAGTTAGGTTTTTTCTTCTTAGATTGTGTGTGTGTGTGTGTGTGTGTGTGTGTGTGTGTGTGTGTGTGTGTGTTGTGCTTATATATATGTCAGGGGACAACTCACAGGAGTCTATTCTCTCCTACCATACCATGTTAGTACCGGGAGTCAAATTCTAATTATCAGGGTTGGCAGTGAGCACCTTTACCCACTGAGCCATCTCACTGGCCCTCAGCTGAACTTCTAGCCAGGAAGCCCTGCAAAGGGGTATATTCCCCCTGCCCGCAGCAAATCAATGAAGTCCCTTCTTTTGTGCTTTCCTCTTACAGGTATTCGGGTTCTTGGTCTGGACTCTGGTGGCTGCCACACAGGTAGGCAACCCCCTGCTGCAAGGATGGGTGCTGTACGTTTCGCTCACCTCGTTCCTCATCTCCTTCATGTTCCTGATGTCTTACGTGTTAGGATTTTACAAGCGATTTGAGTCCTGGAGAGTCCTGGTAAGAACTGGAGGGGTGGTGCCTCCTGAACTCACATCTGGGGTTGGGATGGTGAGCTTTCCTGGGTGGAGAGTGAGAACCAAAGACCTGGGATGAGAGACCCCATCTGGCTAGACCCCTATGGAACTGAGTCTTCTGATTATAGGGTGTTGATTATTAAGCCAAATGAAAACATTTCTCCTTAAGACTAAACCTTTCCTTGTATCTCCCTCTACTGTCTTCCTGTAGAAATATACATACCTCCCTGAAATTAAGAATATTCTGAGGCTTAGATGGTGATATGTTCTTATAGTTTCCCAGGTACTCAGGAGGCTTAGGCAAAAGGAGAGATTGAGCCTAGGTGTTCAAGGCTAGCCTGGGCAACATAGATCTTGTCTCTTAAAAAAAATCTGGGCTGGAGAGATGACTTAGTGGGTCAAATGTTTGTTGTGCAAGTGTGAGGACCCAAGTTTGAATCCCCAGAGCCCACGCAAAGCCAGGTATAGTAGTATTCATCTGTGATCCCAGTGCTCCCAAGGTGAGATGGGACGTGGGGACAGGGAGAACTCTGGAAACTCTCAGGCCAACTAGCCTGGTGTACACAGTGACAAACAACTGATAGAGACCCTGTCCCAAATAAGGTAGAAGGTGAAAACCGACACCCAAGGCTCTCCTCTGACTTCCACATACAAAAAAATTCTGATGTTTTCCTAAATTTTCTTTATGGCAAAATAAATCGTTAGAACAACATAGAAGAAAATGCTGCCAAGAGAAAAGAAATCACTTCAGTCTGCTCGTTGCAATCACCTTGATAGGTTCATCCTTCCACCTGACATGTCAGTTTTATGCAAAATATATCTACAGTCAGATCACATGGAACAAGTTTGTAAAGTAGCTATTTTCACTTAATATAACATTCATTTTTCATGTTATTATATTGTCTTGTGAACCACTTCAAAGTGCTCTATGTTGAACACGTAAAACGTGAAACTGTGGTGAATTCAGCCAGGTGTGCTGAATTGTGCTCTAATCCCAACATTTGGGAGGTTGAATCGGGAGGGTTGCCACTTGTTTGAGGCCAGCTTGGGTTCCATGATGAGATCTCCATTTCAAAGAACAAAACAAAACAGATAATTGTACTAGAGACTCTTAGGTAGCCATAACCCAGCATTGTCCAGATTTTGCTGCATTGGTTTCTAGGTGTGTGTGTGTGTGTGTGTGTGTGTGTGTGTGTGTGTGTGTGTGTGTTTCCCTGAATAATTTTAAAAGATTTTGTTGTTTTATTTTATTTATATTTTTTTCTTGGTCTTTTTGAGACAGGGTCTCCCTGTAGTCCCAGCTGTCCTGGAACTCACTATGTAGACCAGGCTGGCCTTGAACTCACAGAGATCCGCCTGCCTCTGTTTTATTTTTAATTATGTATGTGTGTCTGTGTATGGATTTGTGCACAAAACTACAGTGCTTACAGAGGCCAGAAGATGGTGTCCGATTCCCTGGAGCTGGAGTTACAGGTGTTTATGAACTGCCTGATGTGGGTACTGGGAACCAAACCCAGGTCCTTTGCAAGAGCAGTAAGCACTCTTAACCAATGAACCATCTCTTTAGCCCTAATCCTCAAATACTTTTAAACATCAAAAAAGCCATCCTCCCATTCCATATACTTTAGGTTGCACAGAAACCTATGCCAACATCCTCACCTCATCTCCTTTATACAAAGGTAGCAAATCTATCTCACATCCTGTTCTCCCAGTTATTTCCCAAACCTCCTTTTGTAGTTGGCTTGTTTGAATCCAGATCCTTACAAGGGCTGCGTGCTGTACTTCTTTCAATTTCTTTAGTATCTTCGGTTAGGCTAGCTGGATCTGGTCTCTATCAGTGACCTCTTGGAGAAACTAGGTCAGGGTTCTGGGAGGGACCATGTTTTGGATCTGGCTGTGTCTTCCTTGTGTGATATGGCATGATCCTCTGGTCACTGAATGGTCTATAACGCAGAGGTCAGCATGTCTGACTACAGTGTTCCATAACAGCTTCAAGGCTCATCACATGTGACCAGCAATAGGCCTTCTCTCAGGGAGTGTGTCAGCCTGACCTCCTCAATTCTTTACTGCTTTTTCCACCCACTGGTTAATGTTCCTATATTAAATGCTTCCCCAGAGGTTTAAAAAATGCAGATTGGCCAGTTGTCACAATCCTTCCAGAGCTGATGACCATTTTTAGTTGCTGCAGGACATTCCTGTTGAATTGAAGAACAGCATTGATAACTTAGTGCCAAGAATCAGGGGCTGGAGGGATGGCTCAGCAGGCAAAAGCACCTGATGCCGAGCCTGACAACCTGAGTTTGATCCCTGGAACCCACATAGTGGAAGGAGAGGACCCACTCCCCCAAGTCCTCTGACCATAGACGTGCTGTGTCATGGTCCACCCAATAATAAATAAATAAATGTAAATATTTTTTAAAACACACATCCAAAGTTAGGAGTCAGATTCACCTGACTCCAACATTACCTGAGTGTCAGTTTCCTCATCTATAAATTAGAAATCATACTAGCAGTCTGTGAAGTCAGCTGTGAATATTACACAAGAGAACATGTGTGTATTGTTGGGACAATGTCTAGCTCAGTGTGGGTCTTCATCAAGCTAAGGTTTAATGCCATGCGAGGTGATGTCTAGGAGACCAGTTATATGCAGGTGGTGAAAGAATTCAAGACAGGTAAAGGCAGAAGTAGTTTATTAGATGCACAGTGGGCAGTCCAGTAGAGAGACTGCAGAGGCATTCTGAGGGACTGCTGTTCAAGTCCTGACTTACCCATTTATAATTGGTCATAATACTAAGCCTCCATTTCCTTAAAATGAGACCAGGAATAAGGACAGTTGTACCTACCTAACAGCAGAATCAAATGAGAAAGACAGCATAGAGCTTGGCATGAAATAGGCACTCAATAAAATTTAGCTGGCATTGATATTATTACAATTGTATATGTTACTTTAAAAAATTTAATCAACTCTTGTTTGCTGCATAAATGTCATATTAGAAACACTGCAAAGAGAGGCTGGGGAGATGGCTTGGTTGGTGCAGTGCTTTCTGTGCAGCTGTGAGGACCTGAGTTTTATCCCCAGTACCCATGTAAAAATCCAGGCATGGGGGCTGGAGAGATGGTTCAGTGGTTAAGAACACTGGTTGTTCTTGCAGAAGACCAGGGTTCAAATCCCAGCACCTACATGGCAGCTGACAACTGTCTGTAATTCCAGTCCCAGGGGATCTGACAGCCTCCTCTGACCCCCGTGGGCATTGCATGACATGGGTGTGCTTATCTACATGCAGGCAATACATGCATACACATAAAATAAAAATAATAAATAAATTTTTTTAAAAATACAGGCATAGTGTTGTATACCTGTAATGCCAGCACTTGTCTTGGAGACAAGAGGATTCCCGGGCTTGCTAGCCAGCTAGTCTAAACTAGTCCTGTCTCAAAAAATAAAGTGGAGAGGAACTAGAGAGCTGGCTTAGTGGTTAGGAGTATTTGCTCTTCTTGCAGAAGACCCAGCCAGTTCCCAGTATCCATATCAGAGGACTTGAACTGCCTATAACTCCAGTTCCAGGGAATCCAATGTTTTCTTCTGACTTCTGCAGATGCCGCACACATGTGGTGTAATTCTAGCACCTGGGAGGCAGAGGCAGGGGAATCTCTGTGAGATCCAGGCCAGCTTGGTCTACAGAACGAGTTTCAGGCCAGCTAGGGCTACAAGGAAACGCTGTCTGAAAAAGACCAAAAAATAAAAAATAAAGGATGGAGAGCAATAGAGGAAGACACTTCTGCAGGCAGAGCTCAACTTCTGGCCTGCACATACACATGTGACATGCACCCACACAGATGCACACACAAACATGTACACACACATATATGTACACACATGCATGTTCAAACATTGCAAAGAAAGAGCAACCTCCCTGCTGCGTAGTGAGAGAGGAAAGTGCTCACCTGAGTGATGGTGATGGTGGCCTCTGCTCTGCTCTCCAGGACAGCCTGTACCATGGAACCACTGGAATCCTGTACATGAGTGCCGCTGTCTTGCAAGCACATGCCACGATCGTGTCTGAGAATGAGGACTCGAAGAAGTACTACATCAACACTGCAGCCTCAGTGAGTAGCTGGGCCTTGCCGGGCAGGGGTGCAGACACCCATGGCTGAGGGTACTTATTACATTAACTTCAGTGCTGCTGCCTCAGGCATTTTAGACAACTCTCTCAAGCTGCAGGACAGAGGATGACGGAGACTCTGTGTGTGTGTGTGGGTGTGTGTGTATGCCCAAGCTTCAAGAGTGATCTCTTGCCTTGCATTTCTCCACTCACCCTTGTTTCCCCCATCTCTAGAATTTTGTTTTTTCCCCTAAGCAAATACGAATGAGTTTCTCTTTCCTACTGGTATCTAACAAGAGCTCCGGTTGCTGTGCGATGGAGGCCAAGTTTCTGGGCACAGCTGACTGTTTCATATCCTTTTGTTTCAATGACACAAGTCCATGGGGAATGGCATTACTGGGTAATGGAAGCCAAGGCAAGGTGCGTCCCAGTAATCTGTGGAAAGAGTAGAATGCCCAGATAGTAGTGCCCCAGGCTGCAGGCTACTGAGCATGCCTGTCTCTTTCTCCAGAGTTGAATAGCGCCCTCGTGTGGCAAGAAGTTCACAGCACCAGACTCCACCTCTAGGGGGCCTGGCCTGCATCCTTGAGGAAAACTCCCAAAGCAGGACTCCCAGAGTTCCTGGCACCAGTAGAGGGATGAAAGATCATGACCTCTGTCAGGCTGGTGCTCCCACATGATCACCCAGAGATGACAGAGGCAAGGGCTGATCTGGGGACTCTGTCCTCAGAGTAAGAACTGGGTACTAGGCAAGCACTTGTAGCCCTGTGGGGAGGTAGAAGATTGATCAGCTACCTTCCAGCCTGCCTGCCTCCTTCCCTTCTTGTCAAGGTACTCAGACTTCCTCAAACTCACAATTGCAGAAATGGCCTTCTGACGGCCTCCCCACTGCTGTCCTTGGGTATACAGATACTCTCTCACTCAGAGCCTTGGCAAGGATGCCCACATCCCAGGTCAGCAGGGTAGCTCCTGCCTCCTGGCCTTTTCTGAAGTGCCAGCCTCTCCAGCAGCCCCCACCCAGCACCTGCTTCCACCATTCCTGCTTCTCTCTCCTGGGTCCTGCTCCACTCTGAACTAGGTGTGCAGTACCTGCTCACTTTCTGCTTCCTGTGACCTCTGTGAGACAGGTGCAATCTGTTTATATCTGTGACAGATCCTCACTTACATAGCCAGGCCACCCTCAGATTTGCCATTTTCCTGCTTCAGTCTCCAGAGCCCTGGAACTAAAGGCATGTGGCATTACGCCTGGCTTAGGGGCAAGCATTCCTTAATGCCTTGCTCACTGTCGTAGCAATGGTTATTCTTCAAGTACAGCAGGTGCTTAAAGGCTATTTGTTGAGTGAAGAGTGAGTGAATAAGAATAGACGGTGAGTGGACAGTGGGACAGTGAGGCTGGAGAGGCCACCTGACCTGGATGCTAAGGGTGATGGCCCCACCCTGAGAAGAGAACCATTGTGTCATTTTAAGCACAGTTTTAATCATGGCCATGTTTTCCTGTTGGGGACTAGCTAAGGCCCCTGAGAAGTCCTGGGGAGGGATGATGATGGCTGAGACAAGGGAGCTGGATATGCCAAGAGCTAGCCGGGAAGTGAAGTCAGTAGACTTTGGGGCTGGCTTTGGCCATGGCAGGTGAAGGAAAAGAGTGGGAAAGATCTCAGGTTTCTGGAATCCATAATTGGAGGACATGAAGCTCCTAGGGATGACTGAGCTTACAGGCTTCAGGAGGTCAGCAGGAGCCATTAAGGGCTTGAGGGGAGTTGAGACACCCAAAAATAGGTACTCAGAGCAGAGTTCTGGACTAGAAAGTGCATCTGTAGGAGTACCCAGGGCACAGACGTGCAGACTGAGATGTGCCTGGGAGAGGGAGCCCAAGGAGAGAGCTCAGCCTGACACAGGGTCCAGGGCAGTGTGGGGGAGGAGAACTGCCTTAAGGCCAGATGGTGGAGTCCCAGCTTGCAGGTAGAAGAGGTCTAGGCAGCAGATGGAAGTGAAGACATCATAATCGGAACAGGGCAACAGGAGAATGGGGCCCTAGCAATGCCCAGGGAGGGGACACACCCAGAGGAGGCAGTACCTGGCCTATGGTTTCTCTTCTTAGGCCAGGCACGGGAAGCAAGGCTGGTTCAGGGTCTGGAGCCCTTTCAGTGAGGGCGGACCCTGCTGACCCTCTCTAATACTCTGTCTTCTTCCAGTTCTTTGCCTTCATCACCACCCTGCTCTACATCCTGCACGCCTTCAGCATCTATTACCACTGAAGTGCTGGGGAGCCATGCCCAGTGAATGCTCTCTGAAGGCCCAGGTGATTAGCTCCGAAAGCAGGCTTCGCCATTTGCCATCTGGGTGACAAATGGAAGATACACCAAGCCACCCAATGGGGTCAGAAGCCCATCTTTCCAGAATGTGTGAGAAGACTCACTTGGACACTTTCTCTTTGGACACTTTCTCTCCTTATGATGAATATGAAAAAGCTATTTTTCCTTTTCCTAGGAAGATAGCTGCCTCTTACAATTTCCTGACCTAGGAACCCAGCTTTTCTAGAAAACTAACTTGAAGCCTTCACTGTTCAAATTTCCAATTTGGCTACTGTCACATCTATTTAGGGATTTTCTCCCCTCAGCAATGGTGCTTCTACAGTAGGTTTAGGAAATATTCAATCTTATTTTCTTAAACTGCAAAGGCTCTGTGAAGAGCTAACACCCGTGCACATACCGTTTCTGCTCTGAGGCAGTGCTCCAGACCTGCCCTCCTCCTCCAGTTGTGGCCAGTCCCTTTGCTCCCCCAATGTCTCTGTCCTTCCCATAGTCATCTCTGATACACCTGCCCATCACTTCCCAGTAGTTCACAGGGGAGAGGAATATATGTGTGTGATGTTTCCATGGTGATGCTGGACCACACTGCGTAGAGGCTTAACTACCAGGACAAGAGCAAGTACACTGCCCATCTCTTCTTCCATCCCACCCCCTCCTGCCACTGTGTTAGGATCCAAGGAAAATCTACATAAAACCAATACTGAGGGTAGATTTGTGAGAGGAATAAGTGATTGGGGTTGGGGGTCAGAAAGAGAAGAAGTCAGCCACTCGGGAACTGCAGGAGTCCATGTACCTGTGTTGGGCCTCCAAGATCAACCTCCTAAGGACTAGATGCTTCCTTGTCCTGCAGAAAAGACTTCAGCAAAGGAGATTTGGATATGGTATCCACAGATTTACCTCTGGGCTCCTCCCAGAAGCACAGAGAAGAAGCAGTTGTCACATCATTGTAGGAGCTGTGAAAGGACCCCTCGGGGGTCTATGCTCACAGCTGTTGCCCCCCTCTTCTTGGGGGCCCTCTGGGTAGAGCTCCTCTACAGGACTCCCCAGGATTCATCCTGGAAGGACATTTGCGTATCGGGGCCATTTTCTAAGACCAGGACTTGTTGCACAAACAAAAGCATCAAATCAAAGTGCTTGACTTCAAAGCAAGTCAGGCCCTCCATCCTATCCCCATCTGCGAGGGTCTCAGCCCTTTGCCAAGGGCCTCTGCATGGCTGAGTTTCCTGACCCAATAGGCCAACAGGACACAGCTTTGCAACTGCCTAAATAAATTATTATGTAAAAGGGACTTACTTGCTTTAAATGAATCTAACTTTTCTCCAATCCAGGGGTTGGGGGGAGTGGACAGATGGACTTGGCTTCACTATGGTTTACTAGTCACATACTAATTGCCCTGATATCTTGAAAAGCCACCATTTATCTCCCATTTTGTAGTCTGGCAGCTGTCTGCAATGATCACCGTTGATATTTACTGAGTGGCCACATGCAAATAAATGATGTTTATAAAATAAAAAGTGTGAAGTTTGTCAGGTTGATCTTGCTGGTCGCTGGTCTCAGCCATCATTTTCTGAGCCTACTTGGCAGTGTTGCCAAACCCACACCTAGAAAGGTTTTAAGCCTTGACATCTAGTCCCCAAGGGCAGAAGTACAACCACCCTGCCATGCCTGCCAGATGAGGCAGCGTCTGTAACCAGGCCCTGGGTTGTGTTATCACCCATCATTTGGGAGCAAATACCCAAATCCAAAGTCAAGCAGCGTAGATACATTTGGGGCCCACTAGCCAGGGCTGGGAGAGGTGGAGGGGCCTCAGCAGAAGCCCAGCTGAGCACTCCTGTGATTCTCTGCCTCACTTCCCTTTTTCCTCCCACCACAAGGCAATGCCTGTCCTGCTTCCAAGCCATCCACCTCACCCCAAGCTTACCCACAGCTGCTACAGTACCACTACCTCCTATCTTCTTAGTCTGGGGTCTCCCCTGACCCCTGTCTCCTACAGGGACATCCAGATGCCCCCGGGCAGTGGGCAGAGGTATGGGTTTTATTGAGTTTTCTCTTCCTTCAAAGCATCCCTCTCTTTTCCCTCTCTGCTTCATAGGGTCCCACACTCAAGTTCTGTCTCACAGTTGAGTCTGGAGGAAATGTAGATTGCCTCTCTAAGCTGTCCCCCTGAAGACCTTATGTGTTCTGGGCATTGGGGACATAGTGTGTTTTGATAGGTGGTCCTGTAAGTCACACCCTGATGCCCTGCACTGAGTAATCTTTGTCCAGGACAGCCAGAGGCTATGCTTTGGGAAATAACCACCAATGACCTTTTTTCTTTTAACTTTTTTTAAAAAATTATTTTTTTTTAAATTTTATGTGTGTGCGTATGTTGCCTGCATATAGATAAGTGCACCCATGTCGTGCAATGCCCGTGGAAGTCAGAAGAGGCTATCGGATCCCCTGGGACTGGAGTTACGGACAGTTGTTAGGGGTTATGTGGGTGCTGGCATTTGACTCTGGGTCTTCTGCAAGAACAACCAGTGTTCTTAATCGTTGAGCCAGCCAGAGTTGTACTGTGTTTGGTTCGCTTATGCTTACAGGTGGGGGAAAGCTTTGAAAAATGTTCTGCCTCCAAGGGGTGTGTGTGTTTGATCAGAGGAATGCTGGAGTCAGTGGCCAAGCACTTTGGGGTGAGTCAAAGCCCCACCTAGATGCCTTTCGTTCTAAATTCATCATTCTACCCATCAGGAGCACAAGGAAGCACACTAATTTCTGCACCCATGTCTAGGGTATCCATCCCTTGGAAGGCCACCAGGTTTGCTCAGCTCTCTGATTCCACCTGCTTTTCTAAGTCCCAGGATTCCACATCTACCACATTCTAAAGCCTTAAGTAGACCACATCTCCCTGGGATTCATTCCAGGTGGAGCATCACCGGCCCATCTGTGCCCCCTTTGCCCTGCCTCACCTACTACAGTCCCTAGAAACTCTGCCTTGATCCTGAAACCTCCCTGCCCAGCCTCGCCCTCACCCATCTTTTCACATCATCCCCACCAGGCACAGTAAAATGGTTCTCCTACTTGGTCAAGGACACTAGGCAGGAGTACCATATCCTGTCTACAGGGAGATGAAGCCACCCTGAGTCCACATTCCAGAAGCTGCAGAGTCAAGACTTAGGTCAAGGTCTCTTCCACCCCAGCCCCAGTGTTCCCTTCACGTTTTCGTCCTTGTCTTGTACTCTAATAGGAAAAAATTTCAAAGCACAGGAAATAAAAAACATTATGACACCAAACATGTAAAACATTATACCAAAATGCCCAACCTGTCATAACACTCTTCCACTTCCCTTGTACTCAGGGTTGATCAATGAAATGTCTGGTTTTAAGCTCTGGGTTTGATCCCCAGCACCACAGTCAATCAACCAATGCAGATAGATGTGTGGCTTTGAAGTTTCTAAAACTTCTAGGCCAGTCAGTGTCCCTGACATCTATTTCTGGCTTCTCCTTTATTATCTGTTCTGATACTGGTGGAGGCAGCCCTGTGCCCGTGTGCCCTTGCAGCTATGGCTTGTTTCTGTGGAGGCTGTTCCAGGAGTAGGGTAGAACTTGGGGTCAGAGTGTTTTTCTTTTCCTGACAAAGGGGTTAGATGTAGCTGTAGATTGAGTTTCTGGGGTCAGACTCTGAAATTACGTGCTATATATATGTGGAGGTTTTCTGGTGAGGGCACTCAGGAGATGCCCCTGGGACAAATGGACAGGTTGAGAGACGGAGGCAGGGCAGGACAGAAGGAGAAACTGGCTGGCCTGGTGCTTCTATCCAAGGCTGTGGCCGATTCTGCAAGGGGTCTCTGGAAAGAGATGGCCTGCAGTCACCCTGCCCGAATCCAGTGGGCAGTTTTTGCTTCTATGTCAGCATTAGAGCATGCTAAGCAGGAAGAAAGGGGATTTAGAGAGCTGAAGAGGGTGTCGGATCCCCTGGAACTGGAGTCACAGATGGTTGTTAGCCCCCATGTGGGTGCTAGGAACCAAACCTGGGTCCTCTACAAGAGTAGCCAGTGCTTATAACCACTGAACCATCTCTCCAGCCTCAAGATACATAGTTTTACACCTTCCAAGCCCCTCCCTCGAGGCAGTTGTTTGTAGACCTCCAGCGCTGAGCTTACCTGCCTTCTGACTTGGAACTCAGAAAGCCTAACTTTCCTTCCTCCTCCCCTTTTCACCTCTCCTTCCAACAGCTGTTGCAATTCCAGGCTTACCTGCCTGATTCCAATAAACCATCTTCCAGTTTCCCTTCTGGATCTATTTTTAAACTCTTTTATCAATGATATTGAGAACTATAGAAGGGACCCCATGTCCCATGGTAACATGGCTAACAACTATCCATAACTCCAGTTCTAGAGGATCTGACATCCTCTCTAGCCTCTGCAGGGCTGTGCACACATGTGATATATTTACACACATGCAGGCAAAACACTCATACACTTAAAATAATAATAGAATATCTTTATAAACCATAAGGGAACACATGAGCATTTATTTCCCATTCTTACCCCAGCAGTCAGAATTTTGAGTTATTTTACACAGGCTCACCACATTTCACATGTTGTTTATGCTTCACAGTCAGCTAGGGAGAGGTATTTTCAGTTTCATTTACAAATGAGGAGATGAATTCTGGAGAGCTAAACTGGTCTGAGGATTGTGTCCCAATGAGAATCCAAAGACAGCAACCTGATCCCAGAGCCTGTGTTCTCATCACCAAATTGTAAGCTATGTTCCATGTCCCACCTCTGTGGCTGGTAGCTCCAGCTCCACAACTCCTCTCACTTGATCCAGAAGAAAATGTTCTACTACCTATGGGCAGGTTCCAGCCAGGGGGTTCTGGGTTCTTTAAACTCAGCTGCCCAAAATCAGCTGTCACCCGCATCTGTACTTCCCAGATCGTCCCTCAGAGTCCTTCCTCTGGATCCTTCAAGGAAAAGCCAGTCAATCTAGAAGCCTCTCCCCTTTGTTCTTTAGCTACCCAGGCACAGCTCCTGGTTGTCCTGACCTGGTTTCATCTGTGTCCTCCCATCCCTGATCCAAGCCTGAGCCTGGCCTGGAGACCAGCGAAACTTTCCAATTAGCCCTCCTGACCCTGTTCTACCTTTAAACCCAGTTGTTCCCAAAGTGTGGGCATAAGCACCTGTATGATGTATTAAAAATGAAGTGTCTCAGAGATTCTCGGGGAGGCTCAGTTACCTGTACTTTACCAGCCCCTCCCAACAAACATGAGTGTCCAGAAAACCCACCCTTCCAAGGAAGAATGCATTTGAATACTGGCCAGGCACAGGGTATTCTAGGTAGCTGCAGTAGCCTGGCATAGGTCTGGCTTTGCAGTAAACTGAGAATGAGGGGAAGAGCAGTGTGGATGAGGAATTCTGCTAGGAGAACCCACAGGGAAGACTGGGAAAGACTTTGCACAGGAAACTGTGGTTGTTCTCTGTGCAGAAGAGACACTGGCCATCATCTTTTGACCATTGGCCTGAGTGCTGAATGGCTTCGTTTAAATTCCAGGCCCTGTGGGTAGCTTTCCTGAGCCTTCCAAGTTCTCAAAAAAGCCCATTTCCATTCGATCCTGGAGGTGTTAAGAGGATCACCCTCCTGGAAACTGATACACAGAAGACAGTAGATGGGACATTTGATGTCCCAGTAGTGGCACAGTGTGCCACAGGTCATGAAGGCCCAGGGTCATAAGCATCCCCTTTGGGCATGGATGAGGACAGGGTAAGCACAGAGGACCAGTCTTTCTTGACCTGATTAGGATGTAGAGGGGCATCGTTTCCCACAGTTCAGGGTTGGCTTAGCTTCCTTCTGATCATTTAGCACCGAACAGGGTTCAGATGGACACACTTGCTCTGGTACACATTCACACCTAAGTGGATGCAGTCTCCTTTGACCACACAGGAAGAAACGAGCCTTAACTCAGAAGTTCTTCTGTGGGCTCATGTGCTTCACAAATCCTTAGACAAGCTGACCTCCAAACCCAAGTGGGGTTAAAATAGTGAGGTACGAGGGGACAGGAGATACACAGCCAATAGGTGACAAACAGTATTTTGTAAAGAACCATCTCTGGTCTGATCCTAAAACCACATCCTCAAATCCACTGGGAGCAAACCAGAGTTGCAAATGCCACTGGACTTTGGCTCCTTCAAGCTCTATAATCAGTGATCTCCCCTGCCCTTCCAAATCTATCTGAAAATGTCTCCTTCCACCAGAGAAATTGCAACCCAGAAGAATACATCAATATTCAAAGGGGGAGGAGCTTTCAAATTTAAATTGTTTCCAAAAGGAAAGTTGGAAATCTTTCTTCTTGAGCATGAGCCATCCTCCTTGACATTAACTTCATGAAGAAATGCCTCACCCACACTGCCTTCTCAGGTTTAGGGCTCTGTAAGGTAGAAGTATTTCTTTTCCTTTGTCCCATTTAACTAGTGGGATGTGCAAGTGATACCTTGGGATGTTCAGCCCAGCTCTGTCCCCAGCAGAGCAGTTCCTGAAGACTCTGCATTGGTCTGTGCATGTTGGAAGATCTGTGCCTGTGAGCTGCCATGTAAGCAGATATTGCCTCTGTCTCCTCTTAACCCAGACCACCAAGTAGCTCAGGAGAATGAAGAAGGAAAGGATAGAATAAGAGGCATGGAAACAATCACATGCAGAGCGTATCTGGGGAAGCAGATGGAAACGTGCAAGAGGGGGGGCCTGCAAACTCACTTCCTGAACAAATCAGACCTGAGATCTCTTGTGCACAGGGAGAGAGGCAAGAGAACAAGACAGCATAGTGATCAGTTTGGTGGTCAATATGGCGGCCACATAAGATCCCTTAGCTGAGTGTTGATGTGTGGTGATTGGTGAGAGCTCATTATTCTCAGGCAGGAATGCCCGTGAGGTGCTTTCCAACCCTGGCTGCTCTTGAGGATCTCAGTAGCTTCAATGGCAAAGAAATGCAGAACAGAAATAGTGAGTCTCACTATAGAGATGTGGTTTGGGTGGCGTGAGCTTCAGTGTCTCTTTAAAAGCTCCTCCAGGTTCAGATGTATAGTAAGGGGTAAAATGGGAATAGGTAAGTTGAATGTGGTGGAACAGTTTGCAATCATGGTGCTTGGGAGGTGGCAGCAAGAAGACCAGGTATTTGAGTTCATCCTTGGCTACACAGTGAAACTGAAACCAGTCTGAGCTACAAGACCTGCATCAAAAATAAATAAACCAATTTTTCTCTTACTCAAGGTATTTACTCTCCTGCTCTCATGTTGCTATCACAAATTTCTAGGCTACCTACACCACCAGCTCAGTTCATTTATACAAAAGTGCAGTGTCGGGCTGACGAGATGATTCAGCAGTTAAGAACACTTGCTGTTCTTCCAGAGGACACAGGTTCAATTCCCAACACCTACATGGTGACTGGCAACTGTCAGTAACTCTAGTTCCAAAAGATCTGATGCCCTCTTCTGGCCTCTATGGGCATTGCATGCATGTGGTACACTTACATACATGCAGGCAAAACACTCATATACATAAAATTTTTTTAATTTTATTGTTTTTTTTTTATGTGTATGCATGTGTTGCCTGCATGTAGGTAAGTGCACCCGTGTTGTGCAATGCCCAGGGAGGTCAGGAGAGACTGTTGGATCCCCTGGGGCTGGAGTTATGGACAGTTGTTAGCTGCCACGTGGGTGCTGGGATTCAAACCCAGGTCTTCTGCAAGAACAACCAGTGTTCTTAACCCCTGAGCCATCTCTCCAGTCCCACATAAATTTTTTTAAAAAGTGCAGTGTCTGATTCTAACCACTCCAACAGCTATCAAAATGCCTGAAAGCAAATCCTGAATCCATCACTCTCGAGTCCAGCCTTGTAAGACAAAAGAAAAATGAAGAGGAACCCAATAGAGGGATGTTTTTGGAAGCTTTTGTCAAGAAATTCCAATGGACTCTCATATGAACATTTGAAAATTCCCCTGTTTTGTCTATTTTTCAAGTTCCCCATCTGGAACTTGTAATGCTAATTACTCTTGCCTTTACTTCTCCTTCACATCCCCTATTCACCAGTCAAGGACTACAGATAAGAGTTATACAAGTTGGGAGTCTTTTAGGTAGACCCACCTACGAGGTACCCCAATGCCTCACTCTAAGTCCCTGTTCAGAATGGAAGAAGCCAGAGTGTTCTGCATCCCAATTCCCTATTGGCAATCTGGGTAACCTCTTCAGAGGATGGCATGATAAGAATAAGAGGTAGGAATTTGCTAGGCAGTTGGGATAAAAAGACTCAAAAGAAATATGTGTCTTGGCTAAAAGTTAATATGCCCTTGGGCCTCTTAGCAACATACTCTGTTCCAAAGTCCAAAAATGTCAAAAGTATTTGGGAGCTTGTATCTAATCCTTAAAAGATTTTAGAGTTACCTCTTCAGAGGGGGGACTGTTAGAGTAGCAAAAAGCTCCATTACAAAAAAATAAGGAGTACATTAAGTTATCAGGAAAAAGTGATGGGGCGATGTGGTAGGAGTTAGAGGGGAGGGAGTGGGCACGGATTTGATCAAAACACTTTATATGCATGCATGAAATTCTCAACAAATTACTTAAAACAAACAAACAAAAAGTACAGTGTCAACTACAGCTTCATACACCTATGTGTTGCCCCTGTTAGAGAGCCAGCACAGTGATCTTTGCAGGGTGAGGTTTGCAACCCCCTGGCTGAAGGCTTGAGCAAGTGAATGAGATGACCATGTGAGACAGTCTCAAAACAAAAGAGATGACTGCATGCTCCTAGAAGAGGGCACCATGCAGAGACTAAGGGACTGGGTAAGGGGAGGGTTCAAGAGAAGGCTAAACCAAAACTAAGGAGGTATAGAAAACCTTATGGAAACCCACTGCTTTGTAAGCTAATTAAAAACACAAATTTTAGGATTTTTTTAGGAGTCTTTTTTGAGACAGGGTCTCCTTGTATAGCTGTCCTGGAACTCACTATGTAGACCAGGCTAGCCTTGAGCTCACAGAGATCTGCCTGCCTCTGCCTCCTGAGTGCTGGGACTAAAGGCATGTGCCACCACGCCTGGCTTAAAAATACAAATTTTAAAAGGGGAATTTTGGAGATACCTTGCATAGGTGGATAATGCTGCCCCTGCAAGTCATGGATTATTAAAGAATCCTAGAACCAGGCATGGGATAGCTTTCTTTGAGCTGTTGGAGAGGGAGGCCCCAGAAGCCTCCAAAATAGTACAGACTATTGCTCTTGGCTGCCCACCATAACTAGATGGTAAGCCTATTGCTGAAGCCAGCACACACTTTGGTGACAGAACATAGAGAAATCAAGCTAGAACTGAGGTGGAGACTCTCTGATAGCTAGATTTCACTGTACTTGAAGGTGCTATGCACACTGCTGGTGAAGAAAAGTCATCAATGGTCTAACTCAGTACTAGATCCTGCATGTTTCAATACTGACCTGCTAGCATGAATTTTTTTTAAATATTTTTAAAAATTTTAAATGTGTATGAGTGTATTGCAATGCCCACAGAGGTCAGAAGAGGGTGTTAGATCCACTGGAGCTGGAGTTACAGATGGTTGTTAGCCACCATGTGGGTGCTGGGTGTGCAGGATGAGATGAAAATTTGTGAAGTGTTCCATATTTTTTAAATCAAGGAAGAAACTTGAAGAGGAGGAAGATGGGTGAGTGCAGAGACCCTGGGTCCTCTGCAAGAGCCGTCAGCCGCTCTTAACTGCTGAGCCAACTCTGCCACACAGCATGACCGTTATAGGGCTAACAAACTACTTTCTGCTTGGATTTGAGACCCACTACATATAAAAGAATGCCTCACTGGTACTATATACCTGCTCAGAAACCCTAAGGGGAATCTGCTACTGATATTTTGCTAAATGTGCATATTGCCAAACTGCTTGCTAAATATTTATGTTTATATATGCAGATTAGGGTTGCTCTTAACCAGACATAGAAGCAGTGGGCAGGGGCTCCCAACTGGTCTGGTCAAGAAGTTAAAAATAAGTAGCTGTAGAGTGTTTAGCTCTGAATGGGTAATCTATCCCCCCCCCAAATCTCAGGCAACATTGTCGAAGGGGGGTAGAAAGAATGTATATAAGAGCTGGAGAATGGGGAGGAGTTCTGCGGCACTCAAGCTCACAGCAGCTGTGGTTACCTGCACAAATCAAGTCAGTCATTCAACATTCCAGTATGGGGAGGGAAAGGGCAGTCATTTTCCTTCAGGGGTGTTATAGCTACTGGTAAGTTGTCCATGATCCAGTAAATAACCCCACACCCATGCACATGCCAGCAACCCCAATTCAATTTAGTGGGTCAGTGCTTGCTTCGGCAGTACATGTATTAAAATTGGAAGGATACAGAGGTTAGTGTGACCCCTGAGCAAGGTTGACATGAGAATCTGTGAAGTGTTCCATATTTTTTAACTCAAGGAAGAAACTTGAAGAGGAGGAAAACGGGTGAGTGCAGAGAACTTTCGGGGCTTCATCCAACAATCAAGTGAAGCTGAACTGGAGGAGGTGCTGACTTTTTATAGCCCCCGAAACAAGTCTTCCAGTGTCTTACTGGAGACTCAGTCTTAAAGTTCTAAGAACAGTAGTTATTCTGATACTGGGGCAAAAAGTCATCACTCCGAGACAATTCAAGAAATGAAAATAAAGCAACTCAAGCAGCAACGGGCAGTAGAAATCCATTCTGATAAATCATCTCCAGGTTCACACCACCAACACAAGCATCATTCCAGAAGAGTCAAGACACAGAAAGATAGTGAAGATGCTTCACTCAACAGACCGTCCAACCAAAGTCAGGTTACGGCTGCACTCCAGCGGCTTGCTGAGAAGCAGGCAACCAGGCAGTATTCTCCACAGCCACATCAGTCTCCCCACCCACAGGTAATAAACCTGAGTTTGGCAAGAAGTGTCAAAAACAGAAGCAGTGCTTCAACTCCCCCGACCGTTCGACCTGTCATCGGTCCCAGTGTCCAGCCCCGCTGGAAGCAGGAGCCCCCAGACAGGTGGCTTTGCCTGGGAGGAAGAGGTAGAGAACTTGTGCAGCAAGGCTTCAGGGGTGGTCCCCCAGCTCAAGTACCACCCCACAGCAGGCAGTTACCAACTCCACTTTGCCCTCCAGCAACTTGGAACAAAAACTTCAGTCCTGGTAGCTTTCAGACCAGAGTTAAGCGCAGCACCAGACACTACCTAAATCCAGTTTATGGATAGTGAATAATGGTGCAGGCTGTAGAATTCAAGCGCCACAGCTGGGGGCTAGAAACCAAACATTCCGCCACAAAAAGTGATGCTACCTCCGAGTTCCTCCTCCTTGGTTCCCAAGCCCCGATCCAACTACAAACAAGCGCTCAGAAAGGCAGCATCCCACACGGATTCCAAAGCATCCTTCGCAGAAGGTCAGCCGAATGGAATCCAGAGCAGCTTTAACCCTGCAGCCTTTATACCGATCACCAGCTCCGGAGGATCTTTGGAAGCTCCCCAAGTAATTTTTGCCAGATCCAAACCCTTACCCACACAATATGGAGCCCTTGCTATGCTTATAGGACAGAGAAAATCAAAGTCAGTGAAGTCAGGGATAATTTAAGACTCTATTCGCACTTACAGATGAACCAGAGGAAACTCATGGAGCAAAGGAAGAACCTGGTTACTGCTCCTGGGAGTGTGACCAAGGCAAAGCCTCTTCGAGGAGTCCATAGTATTTTATTTTTATGCCTCAAGTTCCCAAGTTCTTCAAGCAGAAGTGAGTAGATGGTTGCCATCAGTCAAGCCAGACCTTTCCTGGCACAACAGGGAAACAGGCCCTCAGGGTTTGGATGGAACTTGGCAGTGGGAACACTCACCCAGTATGTTTTGTGCCTGTCAGAGCATCTGTCTATCTTTCCCTGCCCTCCCCTTCCCCACCCACTAGTTCCTCTCCTGCTGCTGCTCAGAAATAATATAAAAGACTCTTTGACAAAAAAGAAAAAATTCAGAGGGTCATTTTAAAAAGATAACCAGAGAAGGAGGGGGACATGTTAGGAAGAAGGGTTTTAGACAGAGTGGAAGGGGGCAGAGGGGATTCAGGATTGATTCTGCTCAAAATACATTATATAACATATGTAGAATTGTCAAAGATAAATTGATTTAAAAACCACATTAGCTAGTTAAAAATTAACTGGGACACACCTTCCGTGTCAGGACCTCTCGAATTTCATTTGCTCTCAACCAACCATTCATTTAATGTGTTTCTGTGATGCCAGAATAAGCAGATCATTCCAGGCCACAACGCAAAAGCTGACTTTTATTGTAGAAGAAAATAATCTTAACTATTGAATAACATCTTTTCTAACAGAATCAGTTAGAAGAGTTTTGTGCTTTCCCATGCTTTTCCAGCCTTGAATCAATCCATAGTCCAAAAAGAAGGAAAAAAGCAAACATCAAAATGTCACTGATTTGAGGCTGGAGAAACAGCTCAGAGGTGAACTTCGCAGAGTTTGGAGACACACAGGAAACCCGCTAGTGGTAGTCTCCATGTGCCTGGAACTCAAACACTGAAAGAGCCGAGATAGGAGGATTGCTGGAGATACCCAGTGTCCTCCTGTATGGCACAGGTGTTTTTCATGGTGACTTGGTTACAGTCCTGCAATAGGGAAGAAGGAAGAATGAAGTCTTGGAACATTCTGAAAAATCAACTTATAAACCCTTATTTTATTTTATTATTTTTTATTTTGAGACAGGTCTCGTGTCAACCAGCCTGGCCTCAAAGTCTCTCGGTAGCAGGAGGACCTTGAACTTCTGATCCTCCTACCTCCATCCCCCAGTGCTAGGATTACAAACAGTTTCAACCATATCGGGTTTATGCAGTACTGGGGATCAAACTCAGGGGCTCCCGTGCATGCAAAGGAAGTACTCCAACACTCCCAGTGGGTCTGAGAATTGCTCCTACTCAGCCCTACACATAATCAGTATCTTCCCAGGAGTCTTTGTAAAGTTTCAAAAGCACATATATTCGTGAGTTGTCTCTCAAGTGTTTACATTTATAACAGTAGGCTAGTGCAATGTTGGGGGTCATTGTGTCAGTCAAATAATAAAGGTCATCTACTTCACCTGGGGAATGCTCAGTTTTGCCATGCAAAGCCTTAGTGATAGAATCTTGCTGTGTAGCTTAAACTATATCAAACTGGTGATCCTCCTGTGGCAGACTTCCAGGCACTGATATTACAGGTGTGCTGCACCATGGCAGTTAAGAGCACTGTCTGCTCTTGCAGAGGACCTAGGTTTGACTCCCAACACCCACATGTTGGCTAACAACTGTCTATAACTCCAGTTCCAGGGGATCCAATATCTACTTCTACCAGATAAGATCAACTATGTCCTGGAACAAGTACATTCAGTATGTTGCTAACTTTCTTCCCTTCACCACCTACCCCAATGTCTAACTGCTTTTTTTGTGCCTCCAGCAATAGACCTCACTGACAGCAGTACCAGTTAATACCACCCTTCTCTACCCAGGAACAAAAAAAGATTTCACTGACTCTCATCTAGTGGATATCCCCTTATTCAAACAACTGGCTAACTACTCAATTTGCATTTCCAGCAAGAGTGAGCCTACTCATTACAAATGCCTCACTAACTACTCTCTCCACTACAACATGCGTCGCCCCTCCTCTTTTCCTATGGTGCAAAGGAAAAGCCCAAAACTGTGTTAATTTCTCTTTGTCCACCTTTTTTGTACCAGTAATGATTACATCCCAGGTGTACCTACTCAAAAAGAAAAAAAGCCGCTCTCCTCCTACACAGCCGCCAGCGGAGAGAAATCTTCATCCCTTTGCTGGTAGGGATCGGACTTACACTCTCCCTGGGTGCTGGAGGCATTGCTACGGTGACAATTGTGCAAACCCAGCACCTGGCGGGAGATTTTCAAGACAAGCTGGACCAGGCAATGGCATCCACGACTGACAGCCTGGAATCTCTCCAACGACAAATGAACTCTCTTGCCAGGGTTGTGCTCCAAAGCAGAAGAGCACTGGACTTAATAACTGCTGAACATGGGGGTATGTGTGTGGTATTGGGAGAGGAATGCTGTTTCTTTGTAAATGAATCAAATGTTGTTGAAACCGATGTTAACACTCTCAAAAAACTTCGTAATGATCTATTTTCAAGATTTCAACCCACCAAACAATTAGGTTGGTTTAGTAATCCCTTGTTTTCATGGCTCCTACCCTTTGTTGGCCCCCTGGTCATGCTGTGTGTTATTTTGATGCTTGCTCACTATTTATAAGATTTCTCTGCTGACAAATTACTGCCATTGCTGAAATCACTACAAAACAGGTCATGGTCAATTATCAGACTTTGGATTCTCCCGAGATAGATGAGTTGGCTCTTAGGGCTTGTGATGGCACTTCTCCATTTTAAATCAAACAGGGGGAGATGTTGGGGACCCCTGCTGTTAGGGTCGCAGTCTCTCCATGTCCGAATAGCTGCGAGCCAGCTTGGTGCCTGATGGAGAGACTCCCCTTTTCAGCGGGGTGCCTCCTACTCTCTTCCTGGCTCACCTTTGAAGTGCCCGTCACAGATGCCTTATCTAAAACATGACCTCTGGCACAGAAACTACCGGGTTTTTTCTATGTGATAACCAGGCACTGTCTGACAGCATAGAAGCCCACCGCCTCATGTAAATGAAGCATCCTACAGAGCACCTATCAGCTGAGGCTTTTGCTACTGCCTCCACACTATAAATCTTCTAGTTTCACCCTAATAAAGCGGAGCTGTATCACTGAATCTAACTGAGCTGTATCCTGTGTTTCACTGCGCCTGGGACCAGCCTGTGAGCAGTCTCCCCAGAGGAGCTGTCCCCCATCAACACCCACTCGCCCGATTCTGCGTTCGCCGTTCCTGCGCTCCCCGCTTTGCTCTCCCTGCCCCCTGCGGACCGGTGGCCAACGACCGCGGGCACAGGGGGAGCGTCCTGCAGCTAGCCTGAGCCTCCCTGCAGCTTGGCGCAGAGCCCCCTGCAGCTTGGCGCAGCCAGCCTGCCTTGGCGCAGAGCCTGCACTCGCCATCGCCCGGCAGTCCCGGAGAGCGAGAGACCCGCCAAGCAGCGCGACCCCCGCACACAACAACACACCCACATGTTGGCTAACAAGTGTCTATAACTCCAGTTCCAGGGGATCCAATATCTACTTCTGACCTCCATGCGTCATGCTTACATGGGTATGCTTACATACAACATGGGTATGCTTACATACATGCAGGTAATACACTCATACACATAAAATTAAAAATATTTTTTAAAAAGTGTTAGGAAAAGATAAATTTTTTCAAACCTGTTATTCCATGAAGTCTTAATTTTAGTGCTAGGAGCAATATAAAGTACACCAAATACCAGAGAGAGAGAGAGAGAGAGAGAGAGAGAGAGAGAGAGAGAGAGATATAGG